TCGAAGTCTCTTTACCTTTGATACCCAACTGATTAATTAATTCTTCACATACAAGAGAGGTGTCTGAACCACTATCTAGAAGTGCATATGTTTCCAAACATCCTTTGGGACCGTATAGTCTTACTGGAACGATGCCCAAACAAACCCTTGAGGAGTTCCAATCCTTAGCTAGGTTCATCACATGGTTATCAACACCATCAATATGCAATAATGAATTATGTCTAACCTTGCAGTTCTCGACGTCGCACTTGAAGCCTGAGTTGCATGACATAGCTATGTGACCTTTCCTCAAACATAAGTCACATAGACCACGTCTTCTTATCTCCTGTCTCCTTTCTCCTACATTCATTTTTGCTAACCTTGGACAATCTGTCGCCTCATGATCACCTAAGCAGATTGCACAACTTGATACCTTGAATGAGTTATTTGGGTCTCGTCTAATTGCATGAAAGTGTGATCTGTCAGCTCGGCCTTCAGAATTCCCTTTACCGAACTTTGAGTTACACTGTACTAGTCTACCATAACGGGTTCGGGCAATTCTGGCCCTCTCTTCTACAAAGACCACAAATTCTTCGAAGCTCGGCTCCTTCCCGTGCATCATGATCTTATCAGCGACTTCAGCCCACTTATTTTGCAATTCTAGTGGCAGACATGAGACTATTACCTCCAAATTAGCCGTGGGATTAACATCAGACATGTATCCCATTTCCTTCAACGTTATACATACATTACGTAACTTAATAGCAAAGTCAGTCAATACGTCAGCTGACCTTCCGGCAGATCTATGGTTTAATAACTCAGCAATTATTTCCCGCGCAACAAGGTGCTCTTTACCAAATAAATCATATAAAATTCGTTTAGCCCTATCATAGCCTAAATGACTAGGCAAAGAAATGCAAGATTCAATTGCCGTTCTGGCCTTTCCTTTGCAATAATATAACAAATACGACAGCAATTGGCCCTTATCTGACAGTTTACTCTCTATAAGGCTATTGAACTGACTAATGAAACGGTAATACTGACCCGGTTGTTCATCAAAATACATCATATCGATCTTAGGTAAAACCATGTTACCGACCAATGTATGTAAAGTGTCCCTCAGTTCATCAACCCAATCGATTTTTGAGATGTTACGTACCTCTCCTGAGTGATTACTACCCCCAGTTTCACAATTCAAATAATTTTCCACTTTAGCCTTTATTCCACATTTATCTACGGGCAATCGTTCATCGTCCTTGACGACGTTGCACTCTAATTCGGCGATATCAACCTCTTCTTGAAGATCTAACATCTTAAGTTGCCGTTCCAATTCAAGTTTCTTTTCTAAATTCCTTTTCCTCAGCAATGCTTTGTCTAACTTTAATCTAGAAGTACTTAGCTGGCTAGAGGACATACTATTAAGGCTAATATCATCACATTTATCATCGTTAACATCATACATACCACAAACAGCTCTGGAAATTTTACTGTCCAATTCGTCATTTTCCTTCTGTCTTTTACTTCTAGTTTCCATAGTACACCTTTGTTCAGTAGAACTAGAATTTGGACCCAAATTACTGTCCAGACTAATCCAGTGTGAACAGAAAACCAATTAGTTGAAGAACTTTATGTTACGTCCAATTATTTGTTTTTGCCCGTTCCAACTATTGAAGTACTGGCCGTCGATATTTTGCAAATTACGAACCCAAGTAGGCAAGAGGACCAAAACTCCAAATTTGATACCAAGTTTATTCGCAATTCACAAATAATCGACCAAAGTCGTTCTAACAACAATAATTATAACAATTACAAAACAAACCTTCAATTTTGTAGGTTCCCGGAGCAAAAACTCCCGAATAACAAACCAACGACAAGAGAAACCAAAATGTCCGAAAAGAATGATATAAATAAACAAGTCCAAAGGTTAAGTAAAACAAACACATCCAAAAAAACACAGTCAAATTGATGTACATAAAAAAGGCTTTAATCAGCCAAATGTCTTCAGTTCTCCCGTAACAAATATCACCATTTGTACGTAAAACGTTGACAGAGATCGCGCTTAGTACAAATTTATCTGTAATCCAAGAATTTGACTGGGAAGGTAACTTAAAAGAGATAAACAGTTGGTTTAGATTTTCGTTGAATATGGAGTCAGATACCCAGATACTCAAAGAAGGAGGCACCATTACGCAGTGTAACGACGGTTGACTGTGAGCATTAACTATTCATAAATTAGTAATCCTTTGACTAATACACCAGTCATATTGAACTCCAGTACATGTTCTTTGATCAGTACTGAGTAGCCGTAAGAAATCAATATGAATGGAAACGTTTGAGATTCGCCTACTGGTAAAGAAAAGTGACCTGAAATAAATGTTTCGGAAAATTTAAATCATGTCGGTTATAGGAGTAAAGTGTTTATTAATGATAATGTCGCTGTCTCATAGCAATAGCGCTAAGATAAAGGAGTCCTGAATAGCCAGTATTTTAATTAACTCTCTAGACTTATGATAAGTAGGAACACGACAATAAAATTGGTGAAATAACTTACAGTGTGGAGAGCCTAGAGACAAGTTATTGCATAGTTTCCTATGAATAATGGAGAAACGGTTGTCAAGTAGACACAGTATTGGTGTTATTGTTTGAGTAGGCCGTATTCCTCTTCCACGATGCAGACTTCCCCATTTAGGTGATTGTGGCAATGTTCACTATTCTGACTGACGTTCTTCTTATACGTGGGCAGAACTGTGAGCTGTATATGATATTCAATTCTGGTGATTTTCCGATTTCCACTGTCCTTCAGATAATGTAACTGACAACATTTAGGAGTATATTGCGTGATATCATTTCTGAAAGTTTTGTTCCGTTGTGTGTGAAAGTTCATCCGGACACATACTTTTGTAATTTATTCTTTATGATTGAATTGCAACGACATCTGACCCACTATCCATAATTTGTAACTCTCTGATCAGTTTATAATGTGGTACTTGTGGAAATAGATTTTTACAGGATACGAAATAATATTTCATTTTCCAGTCAGCTTGATATATCCTAAGATCACGAAAAGAGATAGGGTAGAATTGTGGTGTGGCCTACTTATATCCATATAAGTAGTATATGGTGTTGGTAAGACATATAATGTATTTTGGCAGAAGACCGATGAGGAAAGAACTGAAATGAAGGGCAATCGGTAGGAAATTGCATGAACAATGAAATTAGAGAAGAAACGGTGAAGACTGAGACAAATGATTGTTAATTTGCAAATTGACTGTTCATTGTATGGTTGTCAGAATTTACTGAGATAGTCTGTAATTTTTGCTTAAATACATTCAATTGTCCCCAGTCGTGTTCTGTTCACAGCTTTTGGGTTATGACCTTTTGGTCAGCATTTTATGAAAAGTGAATAATAATCCAAAGCAATGGAAAAAACGGATAAAGTTGTTGGCGTTTCTATATACTTCACTATCTTAATCCGATTTCTTGAATCCAGTTTCAACTTTATCGCTTTTATTTGAACTCATTCCACTTGTGACATGTCACAAATCATTGTTCTTTTTTGCCTTATTCTTTCATCTGAAGACTCTTTAGCTAAAGATAAACTATGGATAACGGATAGTATGAGTTTCATCCTGTGGTTTATCATACCTTTGTCTGTTTCACTATTGATGGTCAAGCATTGTTGTTTGTACTCAAGTGCCTTGCTGCTTTTTCGTGTCCTTTTCCGACTTCACGTTTTATGTGCGTACCCATGGAGCTTCTTGGTATGCCAGGGACACCTATGTAACGTATTTATTTGCCTGGATCATAACCTATAACGAGCCTTTTTCAGTCGTTACATTATAACAACCGTAAATTTATCAGACAGTATATAAATGCTTAGCAGCACGACCATTCTAACGCGCGAATGAAAAGTTTGAACTGAACGTGTGTTTTCCGAGGTCACAATATGTATGAGGTTCTGCTTTTAGACAGACCGAACTGTTAAAACATAGCACAGTACCAACACACAGACCTAGTTACTAACTTACTGGTTTAACAGTTTTGTTGACTTCATATTAAACAAAAGGGAAAAATTATAAACTGTGTTTATAAATAAATTATTTAAGCTTTTGTCGACGTAAAGTTAGCGTTAAGTGGGTGTTAGTGACCGCTCTAGTTCTCAACGTTGTGGATATCGTATGAGGTTCTGACCCCATTGTAGAAACAGGAGCTGAAGTCAATGTAATCACGGTCAGGTACTTCAGAGACCAGTAAACAGGAGCCAGACACAACAGTCGAAACTGTCAAAAACATCAACGTGAGATCAATATGGGTTGTGAAGTTTTGCTTAAATAATATTTTTTGGGATTTGACGACAATGTATGTCATGAGATCCATCTCTATATTCTCTTATCCCTTGGAGTCCATCCAAGAATAGTGCTTGTTACCTTGGTATATAAAGTGAGGATTATGTACTTGATATTTAGAATATACATGGTTATATAGCTGTTGAAATGTCTTAGGTGTTAATTACTAACAGATCTTAAGTGTTATCTCTTTATCTTAACTTTTAATGTCTTGCTAATCTAAATGGACGTTGATTGTAGGTGACTTATAAAGATACCAAGGCGCCGAAATGCTTCCTCTTATCATTGTATATATATTGACTAGTCAGTTTTAAAAGCGAAAACAGTTTCTAAATGAATGGAATAATGTAGATGTTGAGTTTTCAAGTACGTTGTGAAAGACTCCACCCTAAATAACTACGGAGCCACTCCCCTATTAAACTATAAATCAAGCAAATACGAAGTAAATTACATCGTTTAATCAGTTTATGTCTTATATATATTATTCTCAAGTTGCTTTTTACACGAGTTAATAATTCGAGATGTTTTGTTATAACAACTCAGTTTAGTTGTACTTATTTGTGCTACTTTTTAAAAACAAGGACAAATTTGGCGTTGAATCCTCTTAAAAGATTTATGCCTCATCACCATTACTAATAATTTATCTTTACGGAACTATTACCTGTTTAAAATATCATGATTAAGTACATCTTTTTCTTCATAGTATGTTCAATAATTTCGAAGCCCTTGGCTGCGGAAAAATTGGTTAACGGAACTTGTCCATCTAATCAAAGAACATTTTGCTATGATGGCATTATTGTACCTATGTGGAGACCATCCACAGGCATAACTGCAGGCGACAAAGCTGCCAGGGCTATCGTTTACTTTTCAGCACTCATGTATTTGTTTTTGGGTGTATCTATAATCGCCGATCGTTTCATGGCAGCAATCGAAGTGATTACTTCGCAAGAGAAAGAAGTGACTTTGAAGAAGAAGAATGGGGAAACTCAAACGATATCTGTCCGCATATGGAATGAAACCGTTTCAAATTTAACTTTGATGGCTTTGGGGTCTTCTGCTCCCGAAATTTTATTATCTGTCATCGAAATAATTGGGAAGAACTTCGAAGCTGGAGACTTGGGTCCTGGTACTATTGTCGGTTCTGCAGCTTTTAATTTGTTTGTTATAATCGGTGTATGCATAATTGTTGTTCCTGATGGACAGGTTCGCCGAATTAAACATTTAAGTGTCTTTTTCATCACGTCGTCATGGAGTCTGTTCGCTTATCTCTGGATGTATCTCATTATAGCAGTCTTTACCCCTGGAGTAGTAGAAGTTTGGGAGGCACTGCTTACGTTTATCTTTTTTCCCATCATTGTGATTTGTGCATACTTAGCAGATACGAAAATTTTCTTCAAAAAGTTTCTTAAGAAGAAATATCATGCAACTGCCCTAATGAAAGCTGCAAACGGTGATTTAGAATTAACTAACCACACTGAAGAGGTGACCTATGCTCCTACTGATGGGGAATCGCTAGCTGAAGAATCGGAATTCGATCGCCATCGTATGGATTATGTGGAAGCTATTAAAGAAATTAGGAAACGAAATCCAAATATCGGAATGAAAGAACTAGAAGAACTAGCGCAAATGGAAGTGCTAAATAAGGGTCCCAAGTCCAGGGCTTATTACAGAATGCAGGCAACACGTCAACTTACAGGAAGTGGAAATGTTATCAAAAAAGCTAAGGTTGAACGTCGAATGTCTTTTGATGATAACCGACTTACAACAGAAACATATCCTCCACACGTTCAGAGGTTCTTTTTTAATCCTGGTCACTACACGGTCATGGAAAATGTTGGGACATTTCCTGTGACAGTTACTCGTGTCGGTGGGGATATGCACGCCGTTGTTTCTGTTGAGTACTTCACTCTAGATGGAACTGCAGTCGCTGGAGAAGATTATGAACCAGTTAAAGGTCTACTGTTGTTTTCAGCTGGCGAAACACACAAACAAATTATGATTTCAATTATTGATGACGATATTTTTGAAGAAGACGAACATTTTACTGTCCATCTGAGAAATCTTGAAGTAAAACATTCTTCTACCAAAATCGAGCCTGTTCTGGTTGACCCCATGGTTGCTACTATTATGGTTCTGGATGATGACCATTCTGGAGTTTTCCAGTTTGATGTGGCTGATCTTACCGTCAGTGAGTCTTGTGAATACGCTGAAATCAAAGTACAACGTGTTTCTGGTACGTTTAAGTTTTATTTCAGAGTATACTGAACACTTATTTATGTCACACATCTTAAGGCTTCCTAGTTAATGAAAAGCGGTATTGGAAGTATTTTTGTGATATCTTAGATTTGAAGTTTTTCGTTTGACAGGTTTAGAATTCTAAAATGATTATTTATAACACATTAAGTCCATACAAAGTGAGCTACACTTGGGGAAATAATTTGCGTTATGACACAAAATGTTGAGTTCAGTTAGACAACGTCTTATGATAACATTATAAATCAAAATATTTCTTACAATGCCCAGGGAGTTATTATTAAACCCTGGTTGTAGTTTACTGATGGCGATTATTTGTTAGAAAATTTTTAAATAACGGTGCAACTTTTTATGGCGTGTTATGACCTGGAATATATGTCAAATTTAAAACATTAAGTTTTACAGAAGGGAGCTCTAATGATAAGAATAATGAAAATTGGCTTGCAAATGTTATTTTTTATATCTTCAGACTAAATAATGAATTTTGTTGAGATTATCTGAGTTCAAGATTTCATGTTCCTTTAGATTCACATAGGTTTATAAGATATGAATTTTCACTGTAATAGAGACTTATTTACTCAGTATGTACGAGTACAATTTTTCGTTAAAAAATAGCTAACGATTTCAAGAATTACACTAACGTTTTAGGGGAAGGTTTAGGTTATCTAGGTGTTTCTGGGATGCTGGTGTTTGTAGAATTCTATAAACATTTTATGCTGCAGACAAACTGCAACTTGATTGTTGTGGTTTCATGATCAATGAAACTTGGTATTTCTTTTAAGCTACAAATCATATAGACTGCTGTATGAATATGTTCATTCGCCTTTATCAAAAATAAAGTCAACCAGTGGTTCTTAAATCGATTTGCCTTGAGCATAACGAAATTTATTATTTTGCGTTTATTTTAAGCGACAAATAACATTGATTTTGTCAAGCCACAAGAATGTTTACATGTGGATTTCTATACAGTTGTTCGAGATAGATTTCAGACTTATGAGATAAAATTGCAGCGGAAATTTAAAAAAATGCCAATAGTTTTCAACAATCAGTAATGAATTTCGAATATTTCAACATCAAGAACAACTCATTTACTGCTTTTATTCATACCTATAGGTTGCCGAGGTATCGTTCGATTACCATACCAGACCGTCGAGGGTACTGCTAAGGGAGGAGGAAAGGATTTCGAAGATATGGTCGGATATATAGAATTTCAAAACGATCAGACGGAGTAAGTATTTAAAAATTTTATTCATCGACGTTGCAATTTTTTATAATCTACCACAAACTTTCGTAGTGCTCCTTAGCTTACAGTTACCACTAACAAAGAAAAGTTAACCCTTTTAGTTAAAATGTATGTGTAAATATTTTAATTACCTCACATGCCGAGACAATCAGCCACAAGAACAATTGTTCATAAACATTGTTGGAAAACTTACGGAAACTTTGGTTACTTTATTTGAATTCTTGAGTTTATGTTCAACGAATGAGATTTTCAGTAAGGCTTTTTCCTTACCCAACCAGGGGAAATAGTTTACTAACAGACACCACTTAGTTTTACGAACGCATTTTACTAAAATATAATGCAGTAACAAGTAACTACAGATTTTCAGTCGCTTAAATTTTAATAAAAGTTGGAGGTTTAACATTCCTAACAGATATCATGATGTATGTGATGAATACTTGTCTAATCAGTTTGAAACAGTCATTTGCAGTTTGGGAACACTCAAGTTCAGGTTTTTTCAAATACTATACTTCTGAAAGAAACTACACACAGTAATATGAGTTATGTTTGCTAGCATGTATATTGGGCTCACATTAGGGATGATATTTATTTAACCATACTCTTTAGCTGCTACATAATTGTTTGGTTTAGGTGAACACCAGTTTTTGATAATAAAACTGGTTAAAATCCATTAGTTATCTTGACGAACACGTATTTTATCGACAAATTAACAGAAAACGAGAGCAGCTAATGGTTAATACTCGTATTTTTTACTAAAGACTAGATAAACAAAGTGCAAAAGGAAGAACGTCTATCAGAGATAATATAGTCTGAATGATTCTGTAAGGGAATCAATCATAACGCAGAGGATTTTCGTGGATCTTTTAAGTATCTCACATAACACGCTCAAGTGCCCGTAGAGGAGCCATGTTCTTATAAGTGCGAATTTCTTGTACAAACTCACATGGTAGAGTGAAAATAAAATCTAGATAATGTGTGTTGTCCTTACACTGACAGAGGTTCATGCATCTAAACGTTTTGAGCTGATGACCAAAAATTAAACCCTATGGTCTGCTTTTGAGATAAAAATATATGAGCTGATTATATAAATAAAATAAATTCAAGTGGCTTACGTAATTAATTCAGTATGAAGTGGAAAAGACACTGTAATGAATAAAGTGAAATTACATTTTATTTGAGGGCGTTTCATATAGTTCGAAGCGTTTACATTGAGTGAGTTTTTTCGTGTGGCGCTAACAAGAGGGATTTTTATTTCATTCCGTTGTATCATTTAGTTGGAACGCTATTAAAAATCATCAATATCTAGTCTCAAACTAATGTTTTCAGTTGTAAATTTACTTAATCTGAATCGAATTCAATAGGCTGAGTAGTTTCAATGAACTATGGCAACATCGAACTCTTCTCTTACAATAGTTTCTGTTGAATTTCGATGAATTTTATGTGCACTGAATCAAGAAATGGTACAACACAAAATTTATTGCTAGGCTGCTATGCTACTAGTGAAGTTGTTAAGTTTTGCTGTTCATATTTTATATACTAAACAATGAAACTAAGTGTGAAATTTTGTATTATTTTGTTGTGAAATATTGATACTGATGGTAATAAAAATTCTACATAAGTTGCTTATATTTTATAGCACTTTCAGGACTGTTTGAAGTACTTTTGACGAAAATATTTTGTAGTTTCTAAGGGATTCCAATGACATGATTCGTAGTTTCCTTTTAAAATACTATGACTACAAGATAATGATTTGGTTTAGAAAATTCTCTCTCTCTCTCTCTCTATATATATATATATATATATATATATATATATATATATATATATATATATATATATATATAAAGAGAGAGAAGAAAGAGAGTAATGTAAGTTGAATCTGATACCGAAAATCTAAGCACAATTTAGATCCAGTTTCATATTTCCTATCTTCTGTTATTAATTGTAACTTAGTGGGTTAACCTTGTTAATCGTTTAAAGAATTAAGTATAAATATCAAGTTTGATGATTCAATCAAAGGCCAAATAGTAAAGAGCGATTTTGACAGTGTTCATAACAAATATAATTCAAACCTACTACATAAGTTAACCTAACAAAAAAGTTTTAGCAGTCCAAGTATTGAGATTTTGATCAATGAAAAAAGCATTTTCTGCCTATGACATTTGTGGAAAGTTTGTTCAACCATTTTGGAATTTGTATTTAAATCGTTATTTCACAGGTTCGTACGTCGTCAAGTTTACTTCAGTTTGTTCGGTCAGTTAATATATACGTCGTTTTTGCACAGTAAATTAGGGTCGAAGACTAGTTTTAAACCCTACACTTGATTATATCATTGTGTTTAAATTAAAAACAGTAACGTCATTTGTCGATACTTTAGTGCTATAATTTCTTTATTCGCTATCTAATGTATCTGTTTGAATTTGATCGTTGTAACATCTCTTCCCATGCTAATGCTTGTAGACTACAGTTAGATAAATGGGAATTCTTGATATCAAGTAATTGCTAGGTAAATTCTGTTAGTTAATATGTATCACATATAAGACTTGAAAGCTAGATTATAGTTTATGGACGAACCAATCAGATTTAAGATAGTAGGTCCTAGATTTTAATGGCTAATCACCTGATCCTAGTTCGTGACAAGGTTTGTAACCTTAATTTCTAACTCTAAGGTCCTGCTGTAAATCCTAATTCTAATTCCTTACACTAATTTATGACTCTCATTTAACCGTAGTAAGTTGGCCGACATTCTTAAGGTCACTCAAGTATCACTAAAAGATCTTTGAGAAATTAGTCTCACAGGTATAAATAAATCACTGAACTTGCAATTAAGCACAAATACACGGACGCAATTTCTTTAAGTATTGACAGACTTACACACCCACGACTGATTCCAAAGATCACAATGTTCCATCTTTTACGGGAACAAGGCATATCAATTATTGAAGTCGTTGCTTTTTAAAAATTTATTTCAATAAAACGATTTGAATTACTGAATATTCTAGACAACCCAGTTTTCATATTTATTAATATCTAATCATGATAATTACTACTTTTACAAGCGTAAATTTGTGTTGCATTACAAAACGAGAAACTGAAGGATTCCAATTCTCATCATAGATTATTTAGGTTCCATTTAAGCTATTGCATGGAATCTATTTCTCATTAGTGTAGACTCATTTGAAAACGTGAGTCAGCATACGAAGACGTGCTGATGTATTCATGTTAGTAATCAAAGAACTGTAGTACAACGAACTCTAGTCATATGAAGACTGGAAAAATTAATGTTAAGCTAGTGTTGAGCACAGGAAGTACTATTTTCACCTAGTTTATTGCTATAAGTTGAATGTGTGGTATTCCTGATAGGGAAATCCAATACAATGACTTTTTGGTGGTTATAATTATCTGTATTTTTCCTTATAAATCTAATCTTATACTTTGTATAAAGTTATCATAATATTTAGGTGTACAAATTACTTAGTTGTAATGAGCTAGAAAATATTTTATAAACTCTTCACTTCGTTCTTTGCATAAATAACTTGAAAGGCAGGTGCAAGCTATCTAAGAATCTTTCATTGATCGAAATCTTGATTATAGGAACTAGTTGGCTTTTGTATATATATGATATGCGTATTACAGCATGTATATGTGAACATTCTGCCTATTATTTTTTTTAGTGAATTGAACTATCAAATTTTCATGATATCATTCAAAAAGATAAGTAACCTTCAATGATTGTTTTAGAGTAGCAGATGCAACATCAAGTTTTTTCGTCTTAAATGTAAATTATTATCTAGAATGAATATAAGTAACTTATAAATAATCATTTGTTAGTAATTGTCCTGAATATTTTCTTTTATATTAATACCATTGTTATATACTATTTTGTTAAGGATCAGATAAATTCTACCAAAACTCAGTAATGATGAAATGCACATGAAATCCAAACTCAGGATCTCAGGTCTCGCGCACGAACGCCTAACCTCCAGACCACTGAGCCAGTATCTAATGGTGTTAATGTATAACTGCGATCAATCCACGATATTACGCGACTATCTTCCATTGTCTTCAGTGGGTAACAGAGTCATACACGACATGGTTGTACTCCACTGGCAGTTACTCACAGAGGACAATTGAAGATAGTCGCGCAATATCGTGGATTGATTACAGTTAAAACGAATTAAACGGACTAATGATCAAATAGTATCAAGGGTGATGTTGATGAATACAAATCCATAAAATACTCTAAAATCGGAAATTAATTAACCGAGACAGATCATATGTTCAAAATATGATATTATTCAATTAATTTATTCTTTGAACACATAAACATTGGTACAAGGAGGCATCAAATATATATGCGCCACACCTCGTCATTTGATTTGTGTGAGGGCTGGAATAGTGCTCGGGTGTCCAAGCCAAAGCAGGTGGTTTTCTTAGGGGACCACTCCTCAAGCCTTTGACCTAGATGTCTAATTCACAAGACAATGGGGGAAACGTAAGGAGATACAGTCTCATGGTAGCCAGTGACCAACAATAGGTTCATACTCCATTTGTCTTCTCAGGATCTTGGAGTCCATGTGCACCAGTAGTTTGGAATCAGGGTTTTTCAACTCCTATAGATAGATCCTCTATATCCGCCAACCCGGTTGAAACGTTGGACATTCGCTTTTCGTCCTCTCGATTTCGTAAACAACACCCCCGCTAGGAGAGGGCAGTCAGTGGAACTTCCGTGCCAGTGGCTGTTTACGTGTGTCCATGTGAGAGCGTTTCAAGAGGGAGAGCAGACTCACCCCACCCTCAACCGTACCAAGGCATTTGAGGGATGCATGATATGATGTCGTGTATATAGATACAAATTGGACGAAGTACATAAAGCTTATCGTTGTTAGATTTTATCAGCAAGATAAATCCTTCTACTAGCTGTTTCCGGTCATATTTAAGATCAAATTTCTTTTAAGTCCACAGAAAGCTGACTTTTTTTCAGT